ATTTTCAGTGATTTTAAGTAGATCTTACGAGTTTTTCTGGAATTTTGACCAACTTTATACAAATTTTCATCAATTAACCGCTCAAAGTTTAGTTAACTTCAAAAAATGTGTACATAATTAAATCTTAGGCATTGATTTTGTAAGATTTTGAGGATTTTGAAAAAACTTCACGTGATTTTAAAAGATTTTAGATTTATGAGATTTTAGGTGATTTTAGATCATTTTAGGAAATTTAGAAACTGGTTTTATGGCGTTTTTACCAACTAATTTAGGAAAGCCCTAACGATAAATATTCCATGGGAATTCTACGAAAATTTTTGTTAATTCCTTAGAAATTCCTCAGAATTTCACTAGAAGATTTTATGAAAATCCTTGAAATTCCATTCAAATGACAAATTTGAATAGAAAAACAGAAAATCCTAGAAATTTTATTATAAGATTTCATAATACTTTTCCGAATTCCACTATAAAATTCAATGGAATTCTTGTACAAAAATTCCTCGGAATTACAGTAAAAGATTTCATGGAAATTTCGACAGAAATTACTCAGAATTTCACTAAAATTTAATTTAAGTTTTCAAAATTTTTTGTGGTTCCATGGAAATTTCACGGAAAATTTTGTTTAATTCCGAGGGAATTTTTCGGCTTCGATATAATTTCACTGGAATTCCACAATAAGATTTCAAGGAATTCCATGTAGGTGTAATTCTACGACTATTCCTTGGAATTTAACCAACATCGAACACAATCCTTCAAATTTTCCATAAATTTTTCCTAATTTCCTATAAATTCCCCAAGTTTCTAACAAAGAATTCTAAGGTGGTTTGCCTCTTGAAAAATATAGTCTCACACTTTCAAAGTTTTCCTGGAAAACTAATTAAGGGAAAAGTTGAAACTTTTTGCATGTAAAGAGGAAGATTGGAAGCTTATTTTCTCAAAATTTCAAATTTTTCCAGTGGAAAATGACAACATAAAGAATCTTGGAAATCAACCTACAATAACTGAATTATTTGAAAATACAGTCTCACACATTTCAACATTTTCTTGGAAAACTAGTAAACGGAAAAATTTGAAACTTTTTGCATGTGAAGAGGAAAGTTAGAGACTCATTTTCCCATAATTTCAAATTTTTCCATTGGGAAATAGCAACATAAGGAATCTTGGAAATCAACTTACAAAAGGTGAAATAATTGTTAATACAGTCTCACGCAATTCAAAGTTTTCCTGGAAAACTCGAGGGAAAACTAATTAAGAGAAAATTTTGAAACTTTTTACATGTAAATACGAAAGTCAGAGGCTTGTTTTCCCAAAATTTCAAATTTTTCTAGTGGAAAATGACAACATGAAGAATCTTAGAAATCAACCTCCAATAAGTCCAATAAATGAATTAATTGAAAATACAGTCTCACACATTTTAAAGTTTTCCTGAAAAGCTAGTGAGGAAAAAAATTTGAAACTTTTTGCATGTGAGAAAAAAGGTGAAAGGCTCATTTTCCTAAAATTTCAAATTTTTCCAGTAAAAAATAGGATTTCGGAAAGATTTCGAAGGTTTATTCATTGTGACAAGATTTCAGATTTAGAGCGATTTTGAGGGATTTCGGGTGATTTCGAAGGATTTCGGGTAAATTCGAAGGATTTTGGGAGATTTCGGAGAATTTCAGGGGATTTCGCAAAGATTTGAATTTGATTCCAAACTGTTACTTATCTTATAAGTATATTCAAAAGTATATTAGTATAAACTGAAAAACGGCCGCGTTGGCTGATTTATGAATTTTGAGCCAATGACGAGGGATTTTTGGGTTAACGGAAAGATTCCTGAGGGATTTCGGAGTGATTTCGTGGATTTCGGACTAATTTGTGACACGATTTCGGGGATTAACCCCTCGAAGATTTCATCAAAATTCTTTGGAATTTCACTGAAATTTTGAATTATTCCATGGAAATTCCGCGAAAATTTTAAGTAATTCCATAGAAATACCTTAACATTTCAAAGATTTTATGGAATTCTTGGACAAAATTTTTTCGGAATTACAGTATAGAATTTCATGAAATTCCTCGGAATTCCACTAAGATTTCAATTTCAAAATTCCATATTTTTTTTTTTAACTTTACTAAAATTTTCCAAAATTTTCCCATCCTGGAATTCCACAAAATTTTCATAAAATTCTTCGGAATTTCATTGACATTTCATGTAATTTCTTAAAAATTCCTCGGAATTCACCTAAATTTTATAAGAATATTCATGTTCATAGCCGAAAATTTCTCGAGAGTCCAATGAAACTTCAAGGAATTTTTGTAAATTTAATTTATTATCATAAGAATTTTTCGGAATTTCACTGAAATTCTCTTTTAATTGCCAGGAATTTCTGGGAATATCAATGAAACTTCAAGTAATTTCTTAAAAATTCACCGAAATATATTGAAATTTCATGTCATTACATGGGAATTTTTCGGAATATCACCGAAATTCCATGTTTTTAGCTGGAAATTCTTTGGCATTGATTTCGTGTAATTCGATCGGAATTTCACTGAAATTTCAAATAATTCGAGATGAATTAAAATTTAATGTGAATTCTATGGAAACTCCGCAAAAATTTCACATCTAATTCTTTTTTCAGAATAACATAATTATTCTACCGAAATTCCTGGAAATTCCACTAAATTATGAAATTCTGAGACTTTAACAGATTTTTGGGGATTCCAAAAAATATTTGGGAATTTTAAAGAAAATATTTTTCAGGAATGTTAATGATTTTATTTTGAATATTTCCGATTTTTGATTGGCTCCAAATTATCCGCTGACCAATAGAATTATAGACTGGGGGACCCCGCGATTAAAATAACTCTAGCCCTTCGGGCTCGCATATTACTCCGGCCCTTTAAACTCGCGTATAACTTTAGCCCTTCGGGCTCGCGTATAACTCTAGCCCTTCGGGCTCGCGTATAACTCCGGCCCTTCGGGCCGAAGTTCTATTCGGGCTCGTATTACTGAGTTGGGGGACCTTTGAATTTGTGCAAGCAATTCCTCAAACTACCTGCGAATTCCTCCAAATTCTTAATAAACTCCTCCAGATTCCCTGCAAATTCCTCCAAACTGCTTGTAAATTTCTTGCCTGTTACAAATTCCATAAAAATCTCCAAAATTGTTCGTGATAAGAAATGTATTTTTCTATTTTTATTACGCTTAGTGTTAAAACCAATAAATTCTACCAATTTCTTATACATTCCTCCAATTTCCCATAAATTCTCCACAAATTTCTTTGAATTTTCCATAGTTTTGGCAAAGATGATTTACCTTTTGGGTACCTACTTATATCTAATGAAACTGCAATTTCTTCCCTCCAAAATTACATAGATTTGTAGAATTTGAAAAAAAAAACTTCGACCATGATTTAAAACGTTAATTTACATAATTATGATAATAAAATTAAACTGTATTAGTGTTGTAGGTATAACATAAAATGCAAAATCTGCTATATACATATTTGAATAGATTAATGATATAGAACTAGACCATATTTTAGACGACTATCAATAAACTGATCTTGATTTCGGTCGCATAAACGCCCATTTAAAAAAAAAAAAATATTGTAATATTCCGCCCCGAAGATACGAAATAATAATAATCATAATGCGAACTGTTTACAAACCGTCGATGTCTTAATAACAACAAAGAAAAAAACTCAAAAGTTAATATAGTGCCGTTGAGATTTCGGTTTTGGTGTGCAGTCACGATGTTCGATAAAAACGGTGCCCCCAGCCCGGCAGCTTCGCCGTATTTAAATTTATTAGCGGGCAACAGTCGAGTTCCCACACTCGTGTTTATGTCATATGTTGCTGACCGTTAAATTAAATAGAGTCCGATATAAATAACCAACAATCGATTCATTCTGCGGAGTAGTTGTTAATTCGTACGGAGTAGATTGGAAAAAATGAAAAATGGACATTTCATTGCATTGCGCGGGGTCTTTTAATCTTGGCAAGGTGTCCGTTACCAACGATAAATTACCTCTAGCAAATGAAGATAATTGTCACGAGAATTGTAATTAACTACTACATTTCGATAACGATCATAATCGATAGTTTTTCTTGGATGGGACTTTCCAATTTAATCACTCCAAAATTGACAGCAATTCAATACAACTTTAAGTGATCTAATCCATTTGAGATTGTCTTTGACTCACCCTGTATAAATTTGAAGACAAAAAACTGTTCCTCATTATAAGACAACCCTGTAATTTAATATTTTTTCATTCCCACGCATTTTATTATAGATGAAGTAATTAGGTTGGCCCAATAAAACAATACATTCGTCAACCGGACCGAAACTAGATACCACTTAATTAAAATTTTATAGGGCACTCGGTAATAATGTGTATCATTTGAGAAGCTTATTTGTTTTGTTTATGTGTGGTCTTCTTGTTAGTTTTTTGTCTCTTGAGCTATAATTTTTTTCTTTGGAACAAAGCTTTATTATTACTCTTGCTGTCCAAAAAAAAATTTGATTCTCTACATCAGTAATATTATTAAAAATTTCATCCTCTCGAAAAGCAGAAAAAATTATTTCACCCATAAATCCGACAATAGTCCCTTTGTCAATCGCCGTCTCCGAATGTGACATTATCATGCTCAAATCATGCCACATTTATATGAATGAAAAATGACCGTCGTGAAAGCATTTCTTACGCTTCTCTAGATTTTGAGCGAAAAAAGTACAGATTATTTTGTATGGAGAAAGGGTTGAACACTGGATCAAGGGTTGACCATTTTATTTGCATGAATTGTCAAAGAGAGCCGCTACTTTTTTTTGATACCTGAATTAACAAAGATTACTAATACAAGAAACTTCCATTTACAAGCCTTTTTTTCGGTAAAACAAGCCTAAAAAATTTTTTTTTATCACTAGCTCCCAATAGTGTAATAGACAAAATAAATTATGTAGCATAGATTAGAGTAGTACCCGAGTAAAAGGTGAGAACGTAATTTGTTATTTCAATGGGCTATCTTCTATTTTACACCATTAGTGTCAAAATATCTTATGGGGTCTAAAAGGTTTTCGACACATTCAACGATAAAGGTAATTTTATTATGAAAATAAATGCGTTATATAATAAATAGTTTGGTTTGTAAATCAATAAAAATCTCAGCATTTTGCATGATTAGGCTTTTTCTGAAACAAACATTATATTTTTAAAAAATATGGAATCTTGCAAATTAATACCAACCTTTTTTTTCTTCTTCGGAATCTTCGTTCCATGGCTGCACTTCACCAGAACCGAAACCGATAAACGCCACAGCTACCAACATCCAAAGACTTGCTGCAAGTAAAAATATCACTCTCCATTCTTTTGGGTCTTCCTAAAAATGTTTCGTTTAAAATGAGATAACGCGATTATAAGCAAAATATTACTTCATCTCTGACCAAATACTGTACAGTCAACGGTGCGATTATAGCAGCGATATGCGAAAGGCCATTGGTCAAACCCATAAGGGTACCAGCATGGTTGGGAGAAAGATCCATGTGGTTCAAACCCCATCCGGACATGCAAGCTGAGTTGAAGCTCACAGCGACGATCAAAAGGATCACACCTTGAGCTGGTTGATCTGATCTGGTGAAGCCTAGAGCTATTAGAGCTATTGCCGGTACTACTAAACCTGAAAAACAATATTTTCCTATGAGTGTTGAATAATATGCATGATATACATCCATTTTCTATTGATCAATGTGAATGATTACTCATTCAGTGAGTTTTTTTTTTTTCATTAGTCGATTGTTTTCAACCAATGAAAATATTCTGGTCTCGTTACTCCACTATTTAAGAGCCAATCAGAAAATTCGACAAGTTGACAACATACTTCAACATTCCAATCGGTCATTCTAACAGCTGATTTAATCAAAAGTTGTGCTAACCTAACCTCACTTTGTCCTCCAACTGTCAGAATTGTCAATTAATTTTATTATAAAAATTAAATAAAAAACTGCATAACTCGTGCCTATTATCTATTAATCATAGAAAAAGTATAGTATTCTACTCGTGGGTAATGGCTATTACCATAAGCGCAACTAGGCTCCAAATTTAAGGGGTGCTACAGCACCATTTTTTTTTTTTTTTTTTTCATTTTTTTTTTTATATTTTTTTTTTTTTTTTTTTTTTTGGAGTTTGATTGAAATAAAATGAGACGCGTAAAAGGTTAGTTTCACGAGGGTTTGTACTTACGTCATCATTTGCTTTTTTTTTAAAAAAATAGGTTTTTTTTATGTCTGGAATTTCGAACAAACTTCCTTACGTCATCGATGACGTCATAACTTAGAGAAAAAATTATGTCATAGAATAATTCATCATAAATTAGGTTGAAACTTCGGAGATGTGAGGCGAAAAAAAGTGAGGTTATACTTATTGAAAAATGAGGTAAGAATAACGGAAAAGTGAGGCAAAATTTGCGGAAAAATTTGTTGAAATTGCGTGAAAGTGAGTTTGGACTTTAAAATTGCGGAAAAGTGAAGGTGAAATTGCGAAAAAAAATTGTTGAAAGGCGTTATTTCTCAAATAAATTTCGTTATTTTTATAATTTTTCCTTAGTTTTTGCAATTTTCGCAAAACTCGCAATTTTCGTAATTCCCATAACTTTTTCGTAAGTTCCTTAATTTTTCATAACTTTCCAAAATTCATCGTAATTGTTCTGTAATTCCCGTAATTTTTAAATAATTCCTGTTGTTTCTCAGATTTTCGTAATTTTTTAATTTCTGTAATTTTTCAAAATATTCAGTTAACTACTTATTTTATAATAATAATAATAATAATAAGTTTTTGTTACTTTCAAAAATTCGTAATTCCCGTAATTTTAATTTTTTTTTTTTTTTGTGAATTTTCATTATTTCCGTAATTTCTCAGATAATTCTCCCTATTTCTATAATTCTTCCTTGGTCATTGCAATTCTTGGAAAACTCGTAATTCCCGTAACTTTTTCATAAATCCCAAAAATTATCGTAATTTTTTCGCAGTCCCCGTGATTTTTTCTTATTTCTTTCAATTTTTATATTTCCTGTAGTTCCTCAAATTTTCGTAATTTTGTAATTCCCGTAATTTCTCAAAAAACTCCGTTATCTTTATAATTCGCCCCCAGTTTGTTGTGATTCTCAAAAATTGGTAATTTCCGTATTTTTTTTTTCTTGGAATTTTCGAAAATTCTCAAATTCCCGTCATTTCTCAAAAAATTCTCGTTAATTTCATAATTCTCTCTTAGTTCTTGCAATTTTCGGAAAATTCGTGAATTCCGCAATTTTTTGTAATTCTTGTTATTTTCGTAATTTTTTGAAAATTGTCACAATTTTTTTAATTCCCGTAATTTTTTCGTATTTTTCATAATTTTTGAATACTTAATTCCTGTAGTTTTCAGATTTCCGTAATTTTTTAATTCCTGTAATTTCTCATAAAACTTCATTATTTTGATAATTCCGAAAACATGTAATTTTCGTATTTTATTTTGGGAATTTTCGAAATTTTGTAATTCCTGTCATTTCTCAGATTTTCATAATACCCCCTTAGTTTTTACAATTTTCGAAAAACTCGAAACTTTTGTAATTCCCATTATTTTCGTAATTTTTTAATTTCCGTAATTTCTCAAAAAAATTCCGTTAGTTTTTTAATTCCCCCTAAGTTTTTGAAATTTTCGAAAGTTGGTAATTTCCGTATTTTTTTTTTGGGAGATTTTCGAAATTTTTGTCATTTCTCAGATAATTCTTGTTATTTTCTAATTCCCCCTTATTTTTTTCAACTTTTGGAAAACTTGTTAATTTTCGTTATTCCCGCGATTTTTCGCGCTTTTTCCATCGTGATGTTTTCGTAATTCCAGTAATTATTTGTATTTTCAATTTTTTAATTTTCAATTTTCCTAATTTCCAAAAAAGTTCGGAATTTTCTAATTTTCCCTAAGTTATTGTAATTTTCGTAATTTCAAAAACTTGTGATTTCCGTTATTTTGGGAATTACCGTTATTTACGTAATTTTGAAATAACTTTGTAATTCTTTCCCGTCATATATTTCGTAATACCCGTAATTTTTGTAGTTTTTCGTATTTTTTTCATTCCCCGTAATTTTTATAATTTTTCATAATTCCCATAAATTTTCGTCATTTTACTGGGTTCCGTAAATTTTTATAGTTCCCATTATTTTTCGTAATTCCCGTAATTTGTCTTGTTAGTTTTCGTAACTTTTCAAAAATTAGTAATATTTAAATAATTGACGTAATTTTGGAGTAACTTCGTAATTCTTTTGTGTAATATTTGGCAATTCCCATAATTTTTGTAATTCCTGCAATTTTTTGTTATTCCGTGATTCTCGTCATGTTCCGTAATTCTCGTAAATGTTTGCAATTCTCATAATTTTTCATATTTTACGTACTTTAACGTAATTCCCGTAATTTTTTCAAAATTTATCGTTATTCTCGTAATTTTGAAATGAGGAAAAATCAGGATAAAATCGCGGAAAGTGATGATAAAATCGCAAAAAAAAAGAGTCAAAAATCGCAAAAAAAAGTCAAAAATTTCAAAAAAAGTGAGTTTAAATTCGCGGAAAAGTAAGATGAAACTCGCGGAAAAGTGAGGATAACATCGCAAAAAAAAGTGAGGCAAGAATCGCCGAAAAATGAGGTAATATTTACAGAAAAGTGGGTTTACAATCGCGAAAAAGTGGATTTAGAATCGCGATAAGTGATGGTAAAATCGCAAAAAAAATGACTCAAAAATATTCAAAAATCGCAAAAAAAGTGAGGTCAAATTCGTGGAAAAGTGGAGATAAAGTCGCGGAAAGTAGGGAAAAAATCGCGGGGAAATGAGGTAAGAATCGCGGAAAAATGAGGATGAAATAGCGGAAAAATAAGTTTGTAATCGCCGAGGAGTGAGGGTAAAATCGCAAAAAAATGAGGGTGAAATAGCAAAAAAGTGAGGCTAAAATCGCAAAAAAAGTAAGGACAAATTCTCAAAAAAGAGAGTCAAAAATCGTAAAAAGAGCCAAAAAACGCAAAAAAGTGAAGAAAAAATTGCAGAAAAGTGGGTCAAAAATCGCAAAAAATTTAGTCAAAAATTTCAAAAAAAGTGAGTGTGAATTCGTAAAAGAGTAAGATAAGAATCGCGGAAAAATGAGGTTATATTTGCAAAAAAGTGGGTTTGCAATCGCGGAAAAGTGAATTTAGAATCGCGGAGAAGTGATAGTAAAATGTAAGATTTCTAAATTATGACGTCGTAAGTAAGTACAAAAAGTACAAAAAAAATAAATAATTTGGTTGCACTGATTTTTTATATTAGTTTTAGATCTGAGGTAGTGCCACTGTAGGTAGTGCTATGGTTGGATGCCGAATAGGAATGCTAATTTTTGCTTTAGGGGTGCTTAGCACCCCCAAGCACTCCCCTAGTTGCGCTTATGGCTATTACTCACTCGGATGATTATACTACTCGCCTGCGGCTCGTAGTGCAAACTTCATCCTTCGTGAGTAATAGCCATCATTACCCGCTCGTTGAATAATATACTATTGTCCGTGTGTTCGTTATTTTGGTCTGAGTTCTCCGAGCTTTACTTTACCGTTCGTTTATTTAAAAAGTGTACTCGGTGCAGCCTCATTCGCGTTCGTTTATTAAAATTTCTGACACTTTTATACAGCGTTCAACTGCTCTGTTCGCTCGCTGGTCACGTGATTACGGCTCTGCTCAGCACGCTCTGCTCTTTGAGCAAAATACCGGTGTGTATTATACTTATTATCCAATTAAGATCTACTTACCAATAGTATTGAATATTTTTCTAGAAGTACCAATAGTGACCATTTTTTTGTTGATAATACTATCCGATGTGAAGCTGAACATGAAACTCATTATCCACAGAGTCAAAAATGGAAGAGCCGACAAAGTACTATTCTACAAAGTAAATTTCAACAATGTATCATTTGATCATAAAATAAAACTGACATCTTTAATGTTGAAATTCATCACATGGCTCATGTAGTTTGGTATTTGCGTCATCAAAGTCCACATACTATAGTTGTTTCCCAGTTGTACCACAAAAATAGCCCATACTGGTACCGATTTGAATATACTTATCCATGGTACCTTGTGGGACTGAAAACATTAACAAATTATTATTGAATTAGATTCGAAAGTAACAGCTTACAGGTTTTTCATCGGTGTGACCTAAACTTTGTTCGATGTAAAATTTTTCAGCTTTACTTATAGTGGGATGCACTGCAGGGCTGTTGGATCCTGAAACAGTGAACAGCAAGCACCAGGCAAGTCCAACTCCACCATAAATGTAGAATATTAAAGGCCAACCATACCAGCTGGAAGCTATTTGGCCTGAAATTAGCATCGCTATAACGGTTCCAAAGGGTCCAGCTGAAATTATGGCAGTAAATAAATTGGTTTCAATTGCGAATTAATTACCTCCGAATGCAAATGCTCCTAATCGACTCCGTTCCTCGTGTGGAACCCACTGGCTCAGCTGATGAGTGACCGAAGGAAAAATAAAGCCTTGACAAACGCCTTGCAAAGCCCTACTCATGCACATTCCTGCGGAACCCAAATAGGCCGCGGTTAATGGAGTGGAAATTCCCAGCAAGGATTGCACGAACATGGTACCGATCAGGAACCATTTGGCTCCAAATCGATTAGCTGCGTAGCCAGCAAAGACTTGCGGCCAAATGTAGCCCCAGAAAAATGCCGAGAGGATTGAGCCTTTGTCTTTCCAGTCATAGACCTAATAATAATAATTCATATAAAAATGATAATCCGCAGATAGTCGAGTGGTACTTACAGGTACGTTGGGGTTGGTGCTAGCATTGGGATCGGTCATTGCAACAATTGCAACGGATAAGATCATTCTGAAGCCAAATGCAGTGAATACCATGATGAATAAAAGGAGAACTTGCCAGTGTCTGACTCCGATTAATGGAACTAAAATGAGTAATTTGGATTAATGAAATACATACACTTCTATATCTGAGATGGCAAGCAAGATACATTATGCCTAAGCTGAATTTTTGAATTGAGCAGATTGACTTTTCGTTTTCCAATAGATTTTTACAAACTAAACTTAGCTTCTGGCACTTACGTTTGACATTCTGCTCATTCTCCTCAATGCCCTTTTCCCCATTTTTAACTGGCGTATAATAGGTCTCTTTATCCACTTTCATTTTACTTTTGAATGTATCCTACCTGACCCCCAAGCTTGTGAAGTGACTGTTATTTTTCGACTAAGCTTTATAACAATTGCATTTTATCTTTCTGAGCAAATAATTTTAAAACCAAAAATAATAATAATTGTATTAGAATAAATAAGGATTACTGTGAAACTAAGTAAGTGTGACATTCTTCAAATAATTTTACTGAGTTGTTTGCCTTATTTTGGATAGTTTAAGAAATTATTTTTGAATACTTTATACTGGGGGAAATTTTGAGAATTTTCAGTGGCGGTCCATACATGATTATCTGAGGGGGGTAATGAATGACGAGAAAATCATATGTAAAAAATACTAAAAACTCAAAACGATTGAGTTATTATTAATGGAGTTGTATTTTTTTAAAAATAATGATGTTTTGTAGAATAAGACTTTACAAACAATTTTTTCACTTAAAAACTAAAGTGAATGGAGAGTTGCAAATTTCGAGGACTTTTTCCTAATGATTCAATGTAAAGAATACCAAAAACTTAAAGCGATTGAGTTATTATTAATGGAGTTACGATTTTTTGAAAATAATGATGTTTTGTAAAGTAAGACTTTACAAACAATTTTTTCACTCAAAAACCAAAGTGGGTGGAAACTTGAAATTTTGAAGACTTTTTCCTAATGATTTAATGTGAAAAAATACCAAAAAGTCAAAACGATTGAATTATTATTAATGGAGTTACAATTTTTTGAAAATAATGATGTTTTGTAAAGTAAGACTTTACAAACAATTTTTTCACTCAAAAACCAAAGTGAGTAGAAACTTGAAATTTTGAGGACATTTTCCTAATGATTCAATGTAAAAAATAACAAAAATTCAAAAGGATTGAATTATTATTAATGGAGTTACAATTTTTTGAAAATAATGATGTTTTGTAAAGTAAGACTTTACAATTTTTTCATTCAAAAACTAAAGTGAGTGGAAACTTGAAATTTCGAGGACTTTTTCCTAATGATTCAATGTAAAAAATACCAAAAATTCAAAACGATTGAATTATTATTAATGGAGTTACAATTTTTTGAAAATAATGATGTTTTGTAAAGTAAGACTTTACAAACAATTTTTTCATTCAAAAACTAAAGTGAGTGGAAACTTGAAATTTCGAGGACTTTTTCCTAATGATTCAAAGTAAAAAATACCAAAAACTCAAAACGATTGAGTTATTATTAATGGAGTTACGATTTTTTGAAAATAATGATGTTTTGTAAAGTAAGACTTTACAAACAATTTTTTCACTCAAAAACTAAAGTGAGTGGAAACTTGAAATTTTGAGGACTTTTTTCTAATGATTTAATGTAAAAAATCCCAAAAATTCAAAACGATTGAATTATTATTAATGGAGTTACAATTTTTTGAAAATAATGATGTTTTGTAAAGTAAGACTTTACAAACAATTTTTTCACTCAAAAACTAAAGTGAGTGGAAACTTGAAATTTTGAGGACTTTTTTCTAATGATTTAATGTAAAAAATCCCAAAAATTCAAAACGATTAAGTTATTATTAATGGAGTTACGACTTTTTGAAAATAATGATGTTTTGTAAAGTAAGTCTTTACAAACAATTTTTTCACTCAAAAACTAAAGTGAGTGGAAACTTGAAATTTTGAGGACTTTTTCCTAATGATTCAATGTAAAAAATACCAAAAACTCAAAACGATTGAATTATTATTAATGGAGTTACGATTTTTTAAAAATAATGATGTTTTGTAAAGTAAGACTTTACAAACAATTTTTTCACTCAAAAACTAAAGTGAGTGGAAACTTGAAATTTTGAGGACTTTTTCCTAATGATCAATGTAAAAAATTCTAAAAACCCAAAGTAAATGAGTTATTATTAATGGTGCTATGATTTTATAATTTTCAATGCCTTTAAATGCTTTATTTTGTAGAACTTTTCTCTTATCAAAGACAATATTGAAATTTAATTGTATTTAATAAATGTATTTAAAAAAAATCTTTATCTGGGAGGGGTAATTACCCCCTCTACACCCCTTTAAACCGCCCTTGAGAATTTTATGGTAAAACCAATAGGTAATCTATCAGGGCTATTCAGATTTGGAGAAAAATCCAAAAGAAAACTTGAATTTTGTCTCTGGAAATCTTACTTGGGTATTGTGGTACAGCCATCATTGACACCGCCGCAAAACAGAGTGTAGCCAGCAAACAACTTTATCACTTACTTGAAAATCATGGTCAAAAGTTTTGAACAATAAAATATACAGATCTCAAGCTTATTTGCATAATATCTTTTTGTTGCAGGCTGATTAAACCCAAACACAAACAATAATTATTCAGAGGTAAGTAAATATTATTGTAAATTGTAATAGAAAAAATATCTGTTGAGACAAAATAATTATGAGAATCCTCAAGCAACTTTAAAACGTATTCAACGTGAAATTAAAATTAGAAAAATCTTACCAGACTCCCTAGATTCTGATGAGGGTTTCAGGCATGACCACAAACTAGTAAAAGGACAAGGTATCTTCATGATTGTTGCTGCAAAATTTAAACCTTTGATAATCACAATGTCTTAAAAAAAAAAGATTATAAAATCGAAAACTATGGTGTAAAACTTCCAAAAAACAAATAAGTAAATGTAGATAAAGAAAGTTAGGCAACTAAGGGTGGGTAGTATAAAACTATTTTGACAGAAAAACTTGGAGTTAACTTCTGCAAAAACGTAACTTCTCATAGTAATTCTAGTGTCAAAATAGTTTTATAATTATAAATAATAAAAATCCCAGCCCTTATTGATAGTGTTTTAATGAATTCTTTATTTCTAAGTTCCATTTTATATTCTACAATTTTCATTTGCTTTTTACTCTGTTTTATCAAGATCAGCTGTTTGCATGTTGCAAGTTGATTATACTTTATGGAATGCTATCGAAGGATGAGTAGGTAGATATAATATTGACCAATTCAATATTCTAACAGTTGTAAAATCGATTGCTATTGTAAAATATCAATATAAATAATAAATCACTTACCTTTTTAAAACAATTTCAAACAGCCAAAAATCACATTCACCTAAGTCAACAGTCTTACACCGAATGTAGTTATTAAACGAACAAAAATGCTCATTAACAAGGTAAAATCCTATCGCAATTTTCCTTTATTGAACGTTCAGTTTGATTGCAAGAAATCTATTATACTCAAATAAAGCACACATTTTTCGTTTATCTACAATGATGTTTAGAAATGGCATTTTTTCTGATATTATTCTTTATTGAATTGCAAATATTATCACAAATTATTTTTAGAATCTTCGTTTGGTTCTTCAGTTTTGTCATTCCAGGGTTGAACTTCGGCCGATCCAAATATTACGAAAACAATTGCGGCAAAAGCTTGAAAACCCGCTGCTAAAAAGAATATGATTCTCCATTGGACAGGATCGTGCTGAAAGTAACTAGTGAGAAAATTCCTAACTCACAATATATAATTTCTTACTATGTCTTTAACCAAATACTGTACAGTTAGTGGAGCAGAAATCGAAAATATTGTACTAAATCCATTGCAAAATCCCATTACTGTGCCAGAATAATTGGGAGACAAGTCCATGTGATTTAGACTCCATCCAGAGCCTGTAATAGCATTAGAGCCTACAGCTATAATTAGTAACCAAATTACTTTGGTTGATTCGCCTGATTTTACGTAGCCCATCATTATGAAGGCTATTATTGGTAAAATTGTGCCTAGAAACATTTATTAGCAATTTCGATTAAATGTCAGCTTATACTTACCAATACTATTGAAAACTTTTCTTGAAACAGTTTGGGTAAAAATGTCTTTGTTAATGAGAAAGTCTGATAGAAAACCCATTATGATACTCAAAAGGTATAGTACTAGATAAGGCAAAGAGGATAGAATACTGTTCTGTAATAAATTAAATTAAAAAAATATTATCCAGTGATAATTGAACTTACATTTTTAATATCCAAATTCAAAACAACACTCATGTAAGTGGGAATTTGAGTGAGAAGCACCCAAAAGGCGAAAACGCTACCGCACTGAGCGGTCATGAGCGCCCAAACGTGTTTGGATAATAAAATTTCTTTCCATGGCACACTATGATGCTAAAATAATATTTAATGAGTCATGTTTTTCTTGTGTTACAATTTCCTTACTGGTTTCTCATCGGTATTTCCTAAACTACTTTCAATGTAAAGTTTTTCAGCTTCACCAATACTTGGATGTTCTGCAGGAGTATTATACCCAGTCAAACCAAGTAAAATGCTCGTTAATACTCCTAGGGCTCCGTAAATGTAGAATACCATTGGCCAACCATAGTGGGTGGCTGATATTAGGCCTGTTACCATCATACCGACAACTGTACCAGATGGAACAGCTAAAAAGGGTCCATAAAATATTTCATCAATACTCGCTACTAAGAACTACAATCCTCTTTGGGGCTTGGACATGAATTTTTGGAAACTTGAATAATCATTTTCATCAATCACTTTCCAACGATTCTTATACTATACAATCTCTGAAAATTTCAGGTTATTTGGACTTATATATCGAGAAATAAAATTGTGTTAAGCAATTTGGGGTAAATTTATTAAGTTTTCAATTTTCTGAGTGCCTTTTTTTGATAGATTCCGGCTTCAAATCTCAGAATAATTAAGTGTATGGAGTTTAGCAGGATAACTTTTTTTCTATTATAGAGAGAAAGCTGAAATTTTCAGTTATTCTTATCCCAGTGAAGGACTACAAGCCCTGAAAATTTCAGCTCATTTGCACTTATAGTTCCAGAAATAAAATCGCGTTAAGCAATTTGGGGTAAATTTATCAAGTTTTTAATTTTCTGAGTGGCTTTTTTCATAGAATTCGACTTCAAATCTTAGAATAATTTAGTGTATAAAGTTTAGGGGTCCCAACTGATCATATAAACGCAAAATCTCAACATAAAACAATTTGAAATTTCATCATTTTAGTAGGTACTAAGGTACCTTATGATTTTGATTTTCGAAAACTTTGAGAAACCATAACATTTTTTCTATTATAGATGAAAAGCTGAAATTTTCAGCGATTCTTATCCGTGGAGGACTACAATCCTTGGAAATTTCAGCTCATTTGGACTTACAGTCAGTGGCGTAGCTAGGCGTCGGCGACTGCCGACAATCTCGCGCCCTAAGGAGCCTCGCAAAAAATAGGTTACCGAACACACAAACTTCTAACAGCTATTTGCACCGGTGTTCCTTAAAAACAAACTAAGTTAGGTAGAGGCTAAGCTTAAGGTGAGCCTTTAGGTTGAGTTGCTTTGCACCGACCAAATCTTAGCTAAGAATTGAAAGCTATTGGCAACAGCGCAAAAATGCGTATTTCAAGGCAGAAATGAAGGTGGAGGTACCTATTTCAAGCAAAGAATTTATCCGTTAACCTATCTTTGCGATTAAAATATAAATATTTTCGTTAATTTCGTCTTCTTTCATAAGTTATATCACGTGGATATTTATTTTGAATATATTTTTGGCATTCTTGTGCAAAATTCTGTAGAAATTACCCGACGCACAAAAATAAAAGCATTAACAAATAACTAAATAACAGCAACAACCATAAAAAAAACTTCGGAAAACTTGTTTTTGCTATGAAAATAAACATATATATATTTTTTTTGCTTTAAATATGCAGTCTTCGGAGAAAAGGCTCTTGGAACCTTGGATATTACAAATACAAAATCATCGATAATCAAAGTCAACCAGAATTCTGTCAAAAAAAGAAAACAAAACCCAAAAATGAGGTTAGAATCCAACTAAGCGGAGAAAATCTGGGGCTTAACTTAACTAGACTTGAGGTGGACCCTAAACAGCGGTGCAAAGCAAAATCGTAGTTTAAGTTCCACTTAGGACTAAGTCTGACCTTAAGTTGTAGCGGTGCAAATAGCAGTTAATCTCATAGAATTCACTGAGAATTATTATTTCTACTGCAAATTAACCTAGAAATCTCAAATCACATGGTTTTTATTTTTTCGGTAGATTCTCGGTATTTCGATATATCGGTAATTGTGGCACCGTTCTTATCACGTATTGTTGGTTAATTAAATTATTTAGCACTTTTCTCAACTGGTAACCGACCCTCCAACTTCCAACCGAGACATACGTACAGTATTTCGCTGTATTGTACAGGGTGTTTCCTCATATTTTGACTCCTAACTACAGCTCTAGCTATACGAGGTGGAAAAAAACTTTAGGTATGAAAGTTATAGGGCCGTTTTCTCAATAGCAAGTCACCCCCGGGTTAAGGATAACTCCAGGGTAAACATAGCAACTGGACACGCTTACCCTGGAGTTAAAATCAACCCGGAGGTGACTGGTGACTCGCTATTGAGAAACCGGCTCGTAAGTTTTTATGTCTATTATCTTTTGCGAATGTCAAAACGGGCGAAGGTGCCAACTGTCACAATAACGAACACTTGAATTTTTCAAATGGAACACCCTGAATATTTTTGGCTTTTTTTCTTCTGATTCAGTGGCGGCTCGTGACTATTTCAAGTGAGGAGGCTAATTACAGTATAGGATTTCATGAAATTCCTCGGAATTCATTAAGATTTCAATTTCAAAATTCCGTATTTTTTTTTTAAACTTTACTAAAATTCCTCAAAATTTTACCACTGAAATATCCTGGAATTCCACAAAATTTTCATAAAATTTTTTGGAATTTCATGTAATTTCTTAAAAATTTCTCGGAATTCACTAAAATTTTATGAGAATATCCACGTTCATAACCGAAAATTTCTTGAAAGTCCAATGAAACTTCAAGGAATTTTCAAAATTTAATTTATTTTCATAAGAATTTCGGAATTTCACTGAAATTCTCTTTTAATTGCCAGGAATTTCTTGGAATATTAATGAAGTTTCAAGTAATTTCTTAAAAATTCATCGAAATATATTGAAATTTCATGTTATTACATGGTAATTTTTCGGAATATCACCGAAATTCCATGTTTTTAGCTGGAAATTCCTCGGCATTACTAAAATTCAGTAAAAACTGAAATTTCATGTTGGGAATTTCGGTGTAATTTCATGTAATTGTTTAAAATTCCTCCATGTAATTCATTTAGGATTTCGTGTAATTCGATCGGAATTTCACTGAAATTTCAAGTAATTCGAGAGGAATTGAAATTTAATGTGCATTCTATGGAAACTCTGTAAAAATTTCACATTTAATTCCTTTTTCAGAATAACATAATTATTCTACCGAAATTCCACTAAATTATGGAACTCTGAGATTTTAATAGATTTTTGGGGATTCCAAAAAATATTTGGGTATTTTAAAGGAAATATTTTGCACAAATGTCAATGATTGGGTTTAAAATAACCTATAAATCGAGATTTGATAAAAACATATAACAACGCTGCTCATGATACAACAAACGTCAAAAAATTGAAATTTCAAACCTTGGGTTTTTTGACAATCGATACAAAATGACGTCTTTTTGTTTCAAAGATTACGGCCCGAAGGGCCGGAGTATGAAAAATCAGTTAACAATGAACGGGTTCGTTCGGATAAAACTTTTGTCGCACGACACTTTGGCAATATCGACAAATGTTACCTGTCAAATTTGACACATGTTCGACTTTTTTCCCGCTCTACTATAAAAGCTACGAAAATCAAACCCCGGTACAAGGCAGTTTCACGACGCCAACTATCGATTTGTGTCAAAAAAAAATTGACAGCTGTCAACGTCAAAAAAGTTTTTTAATTTTTTTTATTTTGCGAATTTCGAGAAAAAAAGTGATAGAAAACGATCCCCGGACCCCGGACCCCAAAAACCTTAAATAAAAATTCCAAAAAAAAACCAACAAAAATTACATTCCAAAACCTACTTGATAAAACTAAAGTTTTTCTTACTTACCCCGTTGAAAAACTGGAAATTTTTAGTGGAAAATGAAGAAAACTAAAGCCTCGTACTTTAAATCGGGTTTTCCGACCAGAAAAGCCCTAGAAAAGCGGACAAATTCAAAGAAAAACCTCCAAAAATGACATTCCAAAACCTACTTAATGAAATTTGAGTTTTTGTCACATACCCCATTGGAAAACTGGGAATTTTTAGCACAAAATGTAGGAAATTCAAAGCCTCGTATTTCAAATCGGGTTTCTTGACTGAAAACGGCTTGGAAAAGTAGAAAATTCGAGGAAAAACTGAATAAAAATGTGTCAATTAAAAATTGCCGACTGTCAAAACTGGCAAATGACATTTATTACAAAACCTATTTGAAGTTGGTACAAACGGTGTTGCCACATCTAAACTTAAAAAAAAACATTTTAAATGGAATTTTATTATTTATGTCATTTTAAAACTGGACAGTTTTGCTAGAAAATGAAGAAAACTCAAAGCCTCGTATGTTAAATTGCCGTTTTCCATTGAAAAGCCCCGGAAAAGTGAAAAATTCGAGGAAAAACTGGCAAAAAATTACAAGGCGTCACTTCAAAATGGCCAACTAAAAGCAACGTTGCCACATCTCATTTCGGAAAGCAAAAATAACATTTTAAAAGGGTTTTTGTTTAAAATTCAATTTAATAATTATTAATTAATAATAATTATAATAATTAAAATTCCCCAAATAAATTATAGGAAACTTGTTTTTAGTTTAATTTCAATGAAAATGACATTTAAAGGTTTACTTATTGATTATAGTGAGTAAGACAAAGACAATGATAAAGTAGTACCTATATGTTTGCAAAAACCACCGTTTTCTGAAAAAAATAAAAATCTTAAGAAAACCAAAATTCCAAAGCCAATTTGATAAAACTAAAGTTTTTGAATATTCCTGATTCTTTGATCGGACGTTAGAAATCGCATTTTAAATACTCCCGGTTTTCAATTAGCTCTAAATTATCCGCTGATCAATAGAATTATAAACTAAGCCCCGTTATTAAAATAACTCTAGCCCTTCGGGCTCGTATTACTCCGGCTCTTCGGGCTTGCATATAACTCCGGCCCTTCGGGCTCGCATATAACTCCGGCCCTTCGGGCTCGCATATAACTCCGGCCCTTCGGGCTCGCATATAACTCCGGCCCTTCGGGCTCGCATATAACTCCGGCCCTTCGGGCTCGCATATAACTCCGGCCCTTCGGGCTCGCATATAACTCCGGCCCTTCGGGCTCGCATATAACTCCGGCCCTTCGGGCTCGCATATAACTCCGGCCCTTCGGGCTCGCATATAACTCCGGCCCTTCGGGCTCGCATATAACTCCGGCCCTTCGGGCTCGCATATAACTCCGGCCCTTCGGGCTCGCATATAACTCCGGCCCTTCGGGCTCGCATATAACTCCGGCCCTTCGGGCTCGCATATAACTCCGGCCCTTCGGGCTCGCATATAACTCCGGCCCTTCGGGCTCGCATATAACTCCGGCCCTTCGGGCTCGCATATAACTCCGGCCCTTCGGGCTCGCATATAACTCCGGCCCTTTGGGCCGGTATTACTGAGTATCCCAGATTCACAGATATTTGTCGTGGAGGCGCGGGATTGATTGAAATAATGTTGTCAGATTTTTCTAAATTACATTGAAATATCGAAAATTGGAAAGTGTAATTTGTTAATTATTATTTTAATTAGAAATCAGGAATAAAAAATTGAGATTGAATTTTCAATTTTTTGGGGGAGGTTTAGCCTCCCCTGCCTCCTTTGACGAGCCGCCACTGTTCTGATTTCAAATATACCATATATGTTGATATTTGGTTTAGTTGTTTTTTGCGCTATTCAATTTTAAAATTGTATTGAGCAAGCCTCATCATTGATATAAGAAACCAGGACAGATTAAATTAAGGGTAATGTAAATGCATTTTTAAACTTGAATAGCGTAAAAACAGCTAAACCAAATATCAACATAAGTATATGGTATGTTTGGAAACAGAAGAAAACGATCTATCATTCTAGACAAAAAGATATAGGGTGTTCCATTTGAAAAATGCAAGTGTTTGTCATTATGACAGTTGACACCTGTCATTTGCCTATTTTGACATTCGAAAAAGATAATAGACATAAAACCCTACAACTTTCATATTTAAAGTTTTTTTACACTTCGTATAGCTAGAGCTGTAGGTAGGGGTCAAAATATAAGGAAACACCCTATATATTCTACAGCATTTTGAAAGTCTATCCAGCATTTGATTTTGCAAAGCAAACATAAACATACTAACATACAGGGATTCGGAAATTAATTAGGTTTCCTGAAAAATTTCCTGATTCCTACTAAAAATTGTCGGTCCATGTTTGCGTCATTCTGTAATAAATGAGAAATTTATTTTTGGCTGTAGGATTTTTAGCGGAAAAATATTAATATTTTTGACTGAAAATGACTATCGAATACCCCGTTGATATGCCTGAAAAAAGTGGCGTGACACTCAAAAAATTCTCGCCTTCCGCGGTTATCTTTCGGTTCGGGGGGCCTGCCGGTAGCTACCCATCCCTGTCTTATATCCAGCTTTTTGTCACAAAAAATATGACCACCCCTTCATAAAAAGGGCCTCGCAATTCGGATGTCGCCGACGTCCACGTTTGGTTTAGCTACGCCAGTGCTTATAGTTCCAGAGATAATATCGCATTGAGCAACGCGATGTAAAATACTGTACATTACCTCCAAAAGTTAAACTAGCTAATCTAGATCTCTCTTCGCGGGGCACCCAAACACTCAACATGGCAGCAACAGAAGGAAAAAAGAATCCCTGACAGAAACCTTGAAACGCTCTAAGCGCCATCACTCCCATTTCTCCAAACCGACCGGCCACAAAAGGAATGCACAATCCTGCAGCAGATTGCACTGCCATGGTGGTAACCAGGAACCATTTGGCTCCGAACCTGTTGGCCACATACCCGGCAATTACTTGAGGCCAAATATATCCCCAGAAAAACGCCGAGAGAATTTCACCTTTGTGAGTCCATTCTGGATAAGTCTAGAAAAAATCGTGTAATTTTCAATTGTGAAAAACTAAAATACACTCACTGGAATATCAGGATTGCTGCTTGCTTTTGGATCTACCATGGCCACGATGGCTACAGATAAATTCACTCTGAAGCCAAAGCCAATGAATAAAATCATGAAATAGAGGAAACATTGATAGTGTCTAGCTCCTATGGTGGGTACTGGTGAGAGGGAAAAAATTATTTGAATTAATTGCACATTTTTTTTTAATTACCTCTATTTAATTTTTCTTGGTTATTTATTACAGGTGAATAAACCACATGGTCCATAGAATTTTTATCCAGAGACATAGTGAAAGTTTTCTAGATACTAAATTATTTAAATTGTATTCAAATTTTTGAAAATTTACTTATATTAACAATGAATGCTACCAGATTATTTAATACCTATTTACTTAACTGAGGATTTTGTTTTTAAACCAGGAGCTTAAGAGTTGCAGTTGACAATGTTTCAGTACAATTAGCTCCTGAACTATAAACATTATCATTGCTCTTTGTAAATGACGCAGTATGTTTGAAGATTAAGGCTTTTTGTAAATAAATAGAGTATAAGATCCAAATGTATTAAAATAATTATTTACCTTTTGAAAGTTTTGGGCCAGCACTCATTGTATCACAAAATCACTTTACCAATGAAATAGTAATAGTAAAATATTCTCGTGGATAGTGATTCTTTTTCAAATAATTGCCTACCTACTAAGATTATTGAGAAAAATAACATCAATAATTATTGGTTCATTAAACTTCAATTACCCTAAAAACATTAATGATTTTGGGATATCTGCAAGTCATTAATACAAATAGTCCATTTTGCAATAATTTGCGACTCAATTCTCCAAAGGGCTTATCGTTTCAAATTCTTATTTACTCTAATCACCAACAATAGAATTTAAGTTTTAAGATAAGAATTTCTAATTTCTATTATAATATAATCAAACTTAATGGTTGCATAATTGTAACAATAATTATGAGTAAAGAGGTTGATAAAAGTGAGTATACTAGTGTGAGTCAAAATGTGAAGATTGTGCCCATCAAAAAAGGTTAGTAAAATCAAACAATAAATTAATAGCATATTTTAATTTGTACATTTTAAGCTCCTACTATAGGGCACAGGCATTTACAAGCCTTCCTATACTTCCTAATGGGATTTGTTGCTTTTGGATTTCGAGTATGCCTATCAGTTAATATTGTAGCCATGACAGACCCTTTGGTCAATTCGAATCCGGATATTCCAGTAAGAGTTTTTTTTTAATTATTGGCAGAAAAATTTGGAGTTTTTTTTTTTTTTTAGACATATCCTCACTGGACCAAAAAGAATCTCATTCTATCGTCATTTTTCTGCGGCTACATGCTGCCTCAAATTTTTGCAGCTTACGTAGCCAAAAAATACGGAGCTAAATGGTTTTTGGTTGGAACTATGACAGTTCAATCACTATTAAGTAATTGCAATTATTATTTTATTCAATTAATACAATAATTATTATTCTATAGGCTTTTTAACTCCATTTACTGCAGCTCATTTTGGAGAAATTGGCATGATGATCAGCAGAGTCATGCAAGGATGCTGTCAAGGATTTATATTTCCTTCTTGTGCTCATTTTCTGAGTGTCTGGATACCGCCCCAAGAACGGTCCAGAATTGGTTCCACGATTTACACTGGTAATAAGTTGCCATTGAATGTAGAAGTACCTACTGACATATATTTTCAGCTGGAAAAGGTGGTACTCTATTTGCCCTTATAATTACAGGCCTACTAGCGGCCAGCAGCTATGGATGGCCAATGGCTTTCCATTTTTTTGGCGTTTGTGGACTTGGGTGGTGCATTTTAATGATTATTTTCGGTTATGATACCCCTCAAGAAGATTCTAGAATAAGCTGCGTTGAACAAGAGTATATTGAAACAAGTTTAGGTTACACGCAAGACGCAGTTGTTAGTAATTTATTGATACTAATTTATATTAATATACTTACTAGATTAATTGTTTTCTAGAATCTTAAAACACCTTGGCGTAAAATATTAACTTCAGTGCCTGTATGGGCTCTTCTAGCAGCTCAAACTGGAAGCAATTATTGTTTTTGGACTATCCTAACTCAAATACCTTCATATATGAATTATATGATGAATTTTGATTTAAAAAAAGTGAGTTTTTGTTTAGAATAAAAGCTTTTCATAGGCCAATCAAATTTCAGAACGGTTTTTGGTCAGCAATGCCGTATTTAGTTTTCTGGATACTTGGCACTGTGTTTGGAATTCTTTCCGATTGGATGATCAACAAAGGAATTGTGTCGCGTGGAGCTGCAAGAAAAATTTTCAATTCTATAGGCAAGATTTGTGATTTGTTTGATTAATTTAATAATTTTTTTATTTAGGTCTTTTAATACCAGCCTGTGCCCTTATAGCTTTAGGATTCACAAGATCGGATCAAACCACTCAAGCAGTGGCATTGTTGATAATTGCAGTGGGTTTAAATGCTGCGTGTTTTTCCGGGTTTGCTGTAAACCATGTGGATTTGTCCCCGAATCACGCCGGTTCCCTTATGGGTTTTTGCAATGGTTTTGCTCAAACTTCTGGAATAATTGCTCCGTTGATGGTGCAACTTTTTATACACGATGTGGTAAGAGGTTCTAGTTTATTTGGTTTTTCTTGTATTTGCTGTTTTAGAGAAACCCCCTCGAATGGCGAAATGTGTTTTTCCTCGCAGCTGCAGTTAACATAGTAACTAGTACTGTTTATGATTTATTTGGATCTGGGGAAATTCAGCCATGGAATAGTGTAGAGAGTGAAGAAGATGATAAAAAATAATGTTTTGAACAGAATGATGAATATAGAAATGGTCACAAAAAGACAACTGCAAAGATTTTCACTTGCCTACAAAATCTCAATAGTTTTTTTTTTTTCATGTAATTCAAATAGAGCTTTTCATAATCTATTATTTTTTCCCTGAAATCCTCAAGTTCTATCCTATTGAAAAAAAGTTGAAATGTCTATAAAGAATCAAATTTTTCCAATTTCTCTTTATTTCTCAATTTTTGTCTATTCCCGGCTCTTGAGTTTCAGTTTTCTTATAAATTTCTCTAAATAGAGAAAATTTAAGAGTTTGGACTGGAAATAAAATATTTTGTGTCTACTTGCTTATCAAATTTTTCTCAATTTCTCTGGGATTTCTCATTTTTTCCAGCTCAACGTTGGGACCCCCTAAACTCCATACACTGAATTATTCTGAGATTTGAAGCCAGATTCTATGAAAAAAGGCACTCAGAAAAATTGAAAAATTGATAAATCACCCCAAATTTCTTAACACGATTTTATTTCTGGAACTATAAGCCCAAATGAGCTGACATTTTCAGAGATTGTAGTCCTCTACTGGGATAAGAATTGCTAAAAATTTCAGCTTTCTATCTTTGATAGAAAAAAAGTTATGACCTTCCCAAGTTTTCCAAAATCTAAATCATAAGGTAACTAACTACCTTCTTACTAAAACGATGATATATCAATTTTTTTTCTGTTGAGGTTTTGTGTCCTAATGGTCTTTTGGGATCCCCCAAACTCCATATACTAAATTATTCTGAGAATTAGAGCCAGATTCTATGAAAAAAGACACTCAGAAAAATTGAAAAATTGATAAATCATCCCAAATTGCGCAACACGATTTTTATTCTGGAACTATAAGTCCAAATGAGTTGAAATTCAGGGATTGTAGTCCTCTACTGGGATGAGAATTGCTAAAAATTTCAACTTTCTATGTTTAATAGAAAAAAAGTTATGATCTTCCCAAGTTTTCCAAAATCTAATCATAAGGTAGGTACCTTCTTATCAAAACGATGAAATTTCAATTTTTTTTTTGTTGAGATTTTGTATCCTAATGGTCCTTTGGGATTCCCCAAACTCCATACTTCAAATTATTTTGAGATTTGGAGCCAGATTCTATGAAAAAAAGGCACTTAGAAACATTGAAAATTTAATAAATCACCCCAAATTGCTTAACACGATTTTATTTCTGAAACTATAAGTTCAAATGAGTTGAAATTTTCAGGGATTGTAATCCTCTACTGGGATAAGAATCGCTGAAAATTTTAGCTTTCTATGTTTAATAGAAAAAAAGTAATGATCTTCCAAAGTTTTCCAAATTCTAAATCATAAGGTAGGTAGGTACCTTCTTACTAAAACGATGAAATTTCAAATTTTTTTTTGTCGAGATTTTCTATCCTAATGATCAATCAACATCCCCCAAACTCCATATACTAAATTATCCTCAGATTTGAAGCCGAAATCCATGAAAAAAGGCACTCAGAAAAATTGAAAAATTGATAAATCACCCCAAATTGTTTAACACGATTTTATCTCAGGAACTATAACTGCAAATGAGCTGAATTTTTCAGGAATTGTAGTCCTTTGATTGGGATAAAATTCAGTGAAAGTTTTAGCTTTCTATCTATAATAGAAAAAAAGTTATGAGCTTTCAAAGTTTTCCAAAATCTAAATCATAACCATACCTTCTTACTAAAAGGATGATATATCAATTTTTTTTCTGTTGAGATTTTGTGTCCTAATGGTCCTTTGGAATCCTCCAAGGTCGATATAAACTAAATTATTCTGAGACTTGGAGCCAGATTCTATAAAAAAAGGCAATCAGAAAAAAAAAATTGAAAAATTGATAAATCACCCCAAAATATTTAACACGATAAGTCCAAATGAGCTGAAAATTTCAGGGATTGTAATCCTCTACTGGGATGAGAATCGCTGGAAATTTCAGGTTTCTATCTATAATAGAAAAAAAGTTATGAGTTTTTGAAAATCCTAATCATAAGTATCTACTGAAATGATGGAATTTCAAACTTTTTTATGTTGAGATTTTACGTTTATATATGAACATACCCATACAAGCTTTAAAGATTCAAAAAATCGAGCATCTATTTATACATACAAGTTGGAAAATTGAATTTATTAGTTCTAGTTTGTTAAATCTTTCTTTTCAATAAAATATGAATTATGGTGGGCACTTGTTCAAAAAGAAAACTGGAATAAAATAGTGCCCATCAGTTCAAAAGAGTCAAGCTGTTTAACTGCTGGGTATCAAATGTCCACAGAAAAAGATTCATGAATAAAATACAAATTTGTAACGTGTTAAGGTCCTTTAGGTACAAGTACGACTTTATTAATAAATCCGTGTACTCTATGTACCACGCTGGGTTGCTACCAGTAAAACATTTTTATGGTAAAAAGCCGTGTTTTAAAATTTATGATGGGAGTTTTATAAAAATCTAAAGACTCTCTGCTCTAATTTTTATCAAACTAAGTCCATGTCGCACGCTGTTAAATCCCTCAAAATCCGGATACACTTTAAAATACCTATTAAACCGAAACCTAAAAATTTGCGTAAGCTTATTCAAAGGCCCCTTTAAAATGCGGTTAACCAAAAACGAAATTCGGTAATCTTTTAAGTAAACACAAAGGCACGGTACCTACCTGTGGTTTAAGTAAGTACATATAGGAGAGAGGTTTTCTTTTTTTGTAATTATTTACAAAAGCGTTATTTTCTTTGGGAGATGAGGCGCTTTGTGGTCAAAAATGGATTTTTTTGGGTCAGTAGTGTCAGAAAGTCGGTTGGAATTAAATCAAAATAAATGCCTGCTGAAGTAAGATTAACATTTCTTGGAATTAGGCTTCAAAAATCATGTAAAATATTAAATGTCTGCGATAGCATCTTGAACAACCCTTTTGCTACAGGTACCGTCCTAAATCTGTTATTTTAAATATGTCAAAACAATGCTCCAAAACAAAGTAGCAGCTTTATTGCAAACTAGGAAAGGTACTCGAGGTTCGGCAAAATTCAAAGCGGCGACGGTACAAAGAAGGTACTTCGTCTGGGTAGATTTTATCGATGCAATTGAGCAAATTGAAGTTCACTTATTGTGTATTTGAAGTACATTTTTTCAAATATTAATATTTTCATACATGTGTGTGTGATAGCATTGAAGACTGACAAAAAAAAAGGGCTTCTTGTCCACACAGCGTGGGAGTTTTACCTGTCCCATACAATTTATGAACGAAATTTACCAAAGAGAAGACATAAAGAAAAGAGAGATGTTTACGGAAACAACATATGAAATATTAAAATGTCGTTTTTGCAGGAAGTTTTTGATGTGGGTGGCATTCTGTGATGAGAACAGTGGCGTAGCCAGCCTTGCGGGGCGGAGGGGGCAAACATATAGGGGGCGCATAGTTCTTTTTTTGGGGTGGGGGGGGGGAGGGGGGGGGGGCGGGAGAGGATAACAAATGAATATTTGTATACCTTTGAAATATTTGTTTATGGGGTAAAATATTAAAGAAGGCGCCGCCGGAGGCGGAAAATTTCCTGGGGTTCCACGCCGAAAAACATTTACCATAAGCCTTACAAGAAATAATGTGTGGACATGCCGTTAACTTCAAAAAATCCTTCCGGGCGCCTTAAAAACTAGAACAAATTCGGAAAAATCCGGACGGATGACAGCCCCACGGCCCCCACCCATCCCATTAACCCATAGTTTAATAAACAAATACCACATCAATCATCAAAACAGAAACTATCACCTTTCCTTTGATTGAACTGAACCATTTGCCGACAATGCCGACTTACGATAAAGAATGAAGGGTGAAAGGGTCAATAAAATAAATAATTGCTTTTGTCTTTAAAGTGCGGTAGGGGCGCCATTCATGTAGGGGCGGGGGGGGGCCGTCGCCCCCCCTGCCCCCCTGCTGGCTACGCCACTGGATGAGAATTTTTAAGTGGGTTAACGTAAAATGAAGTTATCCTTTTATAGGCTCTTGATTGCCCTCAATGAATCAAGGGCCAGTGTAATAATCAAAAATTTCAATTATTAAGGTATAGAAAATACTTATATTCTTTTTAATTATACGCTGCATTATTTTACCAAAATATGTTATAATTTTAATTTTTCGCCATTTTACCTTTTTTTCATTAATCTTTTTTTTTTTTGTCAAATCATTTTGTTTACCTTAATAATCTTCGAGGGTGGAAATTAAATTTGAAGTTTACGGTTAATAGAAAAGCGGTAAAAACCGTGCATAATTTCAAATCAGTTTCATACACGCATGATGACGGTGTAAGGAAAAAGCCTGAAAAAGTAATACAAGAAGAAAAATATTGAGATTTTAATCTGCCAAATATTTACCACTCAAAATTCAATGGAGATTTAGAGATTTATCCGATTTGAAGCAAAAATAAATCAATTCACATATTGTTCCCTGTCTCATACTAGGCTGAACCCGTACAATGCCCCACAGAGTAAGAATAGAATAATATTCAATAACCCTTTCGATTTTCTAAAAATTCCTCGAATTAGGATGACATTTTATGGGTATATTTTCTATACTAATAATAGGGCTGGGAATACTTCCTTTTTGCGACTGTCACAAAAGTGATTTTGACCGTGATAACCCAATATTTCCTGTTCCCATGTGCACGGCATCACTTTTTTCTCTCATCAGGTTAATTTTTTATTGGGGTTATGTCAGAGAAACTTTGTTTTTATCCTTGGGCAATTCCACCCTCACTTTTCACCTGTTGTTGCTCATTTGAATTGCAAATGTGCACCTTCGTTTGTGTGCTGCTTCTGGGCCTGACGATGGACTTATTTGGGTACCAAGATGTACAGCACCAACCAAAAATAACTTTCATTCATTATAAAATTGCCTCAATCAAGGGATTATCAGTTATTATACAGAAATCATTTTCTATAATCGGTATTTGAGAACCGTTAAGATTTTTTATAAAAACCACACGGTAATTTTTCATTAATTTTGCTTTATGAAACAAATATTTGAAAAACATAAAAATGGTAGGAAGTCCATAAAGCTTTTGTCAAGTTGTTAAAAAAATTTATACCGACAGCACAAGGTGCAAAATGCCAAATTAACACTTTAATGTACAACCACTTTAAAAGTGTAAATTTGATTGGTAAATAAAGTGTGTGGTCTTTTTTGGCACTCGTGGATTTTTGACCACTGAATAAAAAACCCTCCAGGGGGGGGGAGGATTATGTTTTTAAAAACTTTA